TTGATATTTCATTGATGTTGCACGAATCCCTTATTAAAACACTGTACTTCAAGAACTGGTAACGCACCTGAATGTACAGTGGTATTGTGGATTTCTTTTGGAAGAAACCGGATTTCTACACGGACACTAAATTTGCTACTGATAAATTTCCCAAAGATAATCTTTTTTCAGTTTTATTCTTTCAGTAGGCAGAATGTGGGAAAACTTTGTTTAAATTGAGTTCGATACCAACATAGACTATTGTCCAGTGGGATTTGGCGCACTTCAGAAGTAGCTGTCTCAATCCCTCACCCTCATTTGCAAAATGTTAAGGCTTGAACAGATGATGATGTTCACTTTTCTACATTTTAAAAAATGACAAAAAAATAATGATCCAGCACATAGACAGAACCAATCAGATCATTTCCCTCCAGATGGTTGGTGACGTCAGGCTCTGTCTCTGTTGGAGCACACGACCACCAAGGATCACAAAAGCTCCTTTGAAAGTCTTTTGTAGTGCACTGACCACATCCCTCAATACTAAGTGTGGGAACCTGGGAGAAACTTTCTGCTTACACCATCTACAAACCACAAGACAGAGGTCACACCTGCCCCATCTGGACATGCCTTTTTTCTAAATAGCTTCAAAAAGGTTTTAAACAAGCTATGAAAATTTTAAGTTCTACTTTTGCACCCACATAGCATTGAATTAGTGCTTTATCCATATTCATTTCCTGAACAATACCCATAACAAACAGAATCACTGACAGATATATACTATGGGTTTGTAGGCTGTATTTCCATGTAGTGGTCAATTGATCTCAGCATCAGGCAGCAGATCTACTTTCTTTAACAACCACTTTCCCAGATTCACACAGAGCTTTCTGACTCTCTTACGCCATCTCTGCGTCAGCCCACCACCTGTTCTCTTGAGATGTAACTATTGTTCCCAACCACTGAGCATCTGGCATTTCCTTTCTCTTATGTCAGGCACTCTGACTGGTCAAGACTGTGAGAAATTTGAGTAAGACCGAGACCCACACATTCATATGGAAATGCAGGACTATAAATATGTGGGATGAAGCCACCAGAGATCAGTCTCTCTACAGAGACCCTTGCCATGCTGCAGAGGCCCATGGCACCTACAGTCACTCCAGCAATGATTTGATATTCTCAGGATCAGATCTCAAGAATCACAAGGTAAATTGGAGACTCTCAGAATGCCAATTTATGAATTACTGCTTCATAATGATAGACCTATGCACATGAACTAATTTCTTAATGATTTTGTTCTTCTTGCAGATCAGAAAGCCTCTGGTGGAGAAATAATGCAGACAGCAGATCAACCGGTGACCCGAGCAACTCGTGTCTCTCCTGGATCCAGAGATCATTAAACAGCAGCCAGACTCCAAACTGGAGAAAGCAGACATCCTAGAGACGACATTATGGCTGGAACTTGAGAAGACTTCAGCAGAAGCACCAAGTTGTGGACTCAGCAGCTATTGATTAGACCTACTTCGGATGTGTCCATCTGTACCTCCTGTTGCAGGAGGACTTGAAGATTCAGTCCCAGAAAAATTAGCTGAACTATACAAACACCTTGCAGACAGATGTTCTTTAAAGGAGAGAGGCTGACTTCTCTCCTCTGAGCTGCACAATCCTCACTACCTCCACTAAGGAGGACTAAGGACATGAGCTGGGTCAACACTGCCCTCTGGAGGTCATGGTAGACTCCTACAGACTGCAGTTGCAACTTCATGAGTTGACCATACTGGTCAAAGATTACTGGACTGAATTCCTGAAATTTGAATACCTTGTTATTCTGGATTAACAGAAGTGTTAATATCTCCACACACTGTGTGTGTTTTGTATTTTTAAAAAGATATTTCCTGAAGAAATGCAAGCAATAATATCTTTCTGGTTAAGAAGAAAAAGAAATGTCATGCATGTTGCATGAGTGAAGTCTGATTGCATTGGCAATTATTACTTTTATATTGTACTATATTGTACTTAAAAATCTGATAATGTTATAGTAACATTATTTTTTGATCACTTTGGTCAAAACCTCCAGTGTCCTTTTTTATGGACAAATTCTGATACTGAAACTGCGTTTACTCAAACAGATTTGTTTATATTAATGCTTTTTTTTAAAAAGTTTTTTTGTTTAATATTATTTTGTGTGATTATAGAAAAATGATCCGTTTTAGGATTAGTACATTTATCCTTTAACTGTAAAAGCTTTTTTTGTGTAACAATATCACTGTTTTTAGTGACAATGTGATTGCTAACCATTAATAAGGTTTAATATCATTTGATCTGTTTAAAGGTCAGACTTACTCGTTTTGTTCATTAAAACCTTTTGTCCATTTGCTAAATAATGTTAAAGAACCCTGTACTGTGCACTGTTTTTGGTTCATAAAGACAGCTGTTCCTTCACATTCTCTGAGTACAGTGTAACTCGCAGACATGAGCTCCAGATGTGATGTCTCATCACCTCCTCTTGTAGCTGTTATACTTCATGTGGCGCCGTGTGCCTTGTTAAATAAACAAACACTGCCAGCTGACAATTTTGCATTCTCACATGAGTCTGTAGTTTTACTATATACAAATGACTTCCTTACAAATGACATCATTATCTATAATTACCATAAAGCTTTGAAGCCATTTAGCAAGGTTGTTTGATGAACAGTTTCAGTTCATACCTGAATAGATAAAGCCACCAAACCCATTGGAAAAACATTTAAAATGATGCAGCTGTCAGTTGTGGGTGTTATCAATCAAGAAGCGTTAACAGTTTACCCATTAGTGATGTCACACAATGCATTTAATGCGATGTATAATGAGGGACACTGCTATTGTTGTTACAGTCAAAGCAGTGAAAGGACAGAGTGGGAAACCAAGGAAACTCACTGACGAGCTCCAGTGGGACACTAGACCTTTGCCCTGAAGAGATAGAATATGCATTTATAATCCCTCTTATTACTCAACATTTATCTGTTAGAGGATCACCAAAAAGTTTTGGTTGTTAATCTGTTACTGTGGAAAAGCAATAGATAGCTCAACTGTTTTAACTTCTTAGTTTAACTGATTATTAATCTAATCTTGACTCTGTGATTATCTTAACTTCCATATATGAGTAAACTGTTGTAGATATAACCAAGTTATATCTACAACACATGTACCTACAAATATAGACACATTGAAATAAAAGAAAAAACTAATCAGCTACGTGCATTTATTGTTTAAACGGGAAGTTTAATGTACTGCTGACTCCTTAAGTGTGAATTCATGTCTTGTACTGATTTGATATAATGTTTTGTCATCACTCTGCGATTCCAAACAGTGGAATAATTTTATATCATCCATGAACATTTTCAGCGTAACTTCTATATGGCTTAATGAAGAGCTAGCAGGTATTGTCACAACTAGGGACATTATCTTTTAGTGTCTGACTGACAAGGTTAGCATGGTAATTAAAACTGAAGCGAGACAAGCAACTCGGCTCTGTAAAGTAACTGAAACTCAACCAAGCGGAAATAAAGGAGATTTAAAGAAACAAACTTAAAACTAATTAAAAATAAAGCTGGCCAGTGTGCTCAGGTTGACATGTTAGAATTCAAAAACTACCTGTGTGATATCTTTTAAATTTAATGGTTACTTGAAAGAATTTACAGTGAGTGATCAGTACTGTAATAATATAGCAAATGGTGATGATGAGGAATTATTAGATGGGTTATTAGATGGGTTAAACATAATCCTAACCTATAGATATGGGTTTAAAATGAAGGCTATGAAAACTAAAACGTTAAAATGAGTGAACATTTGTAATAATTTTCTGTACAGCTATAAAAATAAAAAGGATTTTGCTGTGAAAAGCATTCCAAAAATGTGTTATTGCGCTTTGGGAGTGCAACATTACATATCTATATCTATTATCTATATCTAAAAAAAAGAATGGAAAAGAAATTCATTAAAGTAAGATGACTATGTGTGCCAGCTTCTTAGATGAAACGGCAAACTTTGATGAATGGAGAGATTGTGGGAAACCTCTGAGGCAAAGAGTCACACTTCGAGATAATTTGCATCCTAAACCGCACCAGCATGCGCCTATTGTCCAGAGGGGATTGGCACACTTCGGGAAACAGCTGCCGGAAAAACCCTTTTCATGCAAAGTCTGACCGTCGAGTTCACTAGATGTTAAAAAATAATATCACTCAAAAGTTAAAAAGTGGAACTAAGATTCTGTGATTTTGTTGAAAATAACTTCAGTTACTGTAGAGTATATTTTCAAATGTAATTAAATATTTGAGGCAACCAATCATGTTGTTTCCCTCCAGATGGTTGGTGACGTCGGCCTCTGTCTCCGTTAGAAACACGGCGAGCAACCATCACAAAAGCTCCTTTCAAAGACCTTTGTAGTGCACCGACCACATCATTCAATACTGAGTGTGGGAAAGTGAGAAATCTTCCTGCTCACACTAACTACAGACCACAAGACAGGGGACACACTTACTAGATATGGATATCTGACACCTGAGTCAGAGAAAAACTGCATACTTATCCAGACCTTTCCTGGTAGAGTTGTAGTTGATAATGGAAAAGTCTTCATCAGTTGGATCAGCTTGAATTTTTCACTGATACATGGTCTGTATATGCACTTGTACAGCTGTAACTGGTTGATAAGCGTGTGCCCAGTCAAAGTCACTGGCACCACGCATCAGATCAATAGTCTCTACAGGGTCACCACTTTCCCAGATCCACACAGAGCTTTCTCAGTCTTTTATTCCATCTCCACTTCAGTCCACCACCTGTTCCCCTGGGATGTAACAATTGTGCCCTACTAATATGACCACAGAGCATCTGGCAGGCAAGATTTCTTTTCTCTTATGTCAGGCACTCTGATTGGTCAACACCGTGAGAAGCTCCAGTAAGACCAAGACCCACACATTCATATGGAGATGTGGGAGTATAAATAGGAGGGATGAAGGCAGCACTGATCAGAGTCTCTCTACAGAGACCTCTACAGCACAGAGATCCAGCCATGGCAGCTACAGTCTCTCCAGTAATGATTAATTCTCAGGATCATCTCACTTTGACTCATAAGGTAAATTGGAGATCATCTGAATATCATTCATTATTCATGAAAGATTGCATTTGATAAAGCTAAACCTGTTACTCTGAATTATTTTATTAATGACTTTGTTATTCTTCTTGTAGCTCAGAAAGCCTCTGGTGGAGAAGATCCACAGAGTGAATCAACAGCAGTACTGAACAGCTCAAGTCTCTCCTGGGTCCTGAGTTCCTCAAACAGCAGCCAGACTCCAAACTGAAGAAGCCAGACATCCTGGAGATGACCGTTTGCTACCTGACAAGACCGCAGCAATAGTGTCATCCAGTGGACTCAGCAGCTGTTGATAAGAGCTATTCCAGGTGTGCCCAAGAGATGGTCAACTTCCTGCCAAAGGTGGAGGTGAAGACTCGGTCCCAGAGAAACCTGCTGAACCACATCAAGCAGCTGCACACTTCCTCTGATAAAACCCTGAGTGAGGCTGACTTCTCTCCTCTGAGCTACACAGTCCAGACCAGACCACCAGCTCCCTCTGGAGGCCGTGGTAGAAACCTGCAGACTGGAGTCAAACTCATTAAGTGCAATGATCGTATTGGTCAGAAATTACAGGATTCTTCTTTCTTTTTTAAAAAAAAGACTTGTTCTTCTGTATGTACAGAAGGTTTTACTTTGTGTGTATTTGTTCTTGGTCACAGATGATATTTCCTGCGGAAATGACACCAACCATCTTTGTAATAGAGAGAGAAAACATTTTGTCATGCAATAGACAAGCTTAAAGACCATGTTGGTCAGTCTTTTTCTTCTGTGTTTACAGAAGGTTTTATTTTAAACTAAATGCATTGTATTTAAGTATATATGTTTTAATTACTCAGGATGGACTTGTGAAATTATTTTTATCCTTTTGTATAAGAGGGTAGATAGAAGCATGTCTAGACTGTAAAGCATGTGAACTTTATATATATATATGTATGTATATCGACTTTACTTTGTATTAAGTACTAATGTTAAATTGTGATCATTGTGATATGATGCGCTTTAGCGTCATTTTTTTTCTTCACCCTTGTTATAAAGTGTGGTTTATGCTCATTTTGGAGCACATTATATGAACATTTGTGTTATAATGTTTAAGTCTTTTGTAAAGACGACTGATCCTAAACTCATTTTGGGTTCAGTGTCCTGCTGATAAAGCTGTTCTTGTGATGTATCATCACCTCTATCGTCCTCCAATAGGAGCTTTTATATATAAAACAGATAATACTGAGTTTAACTTAATAAACATTGAAATCAAAATATTTTTTCTGTTC